AAGTCGAGATTGATCATGGTCAAAGACCAGATGAGTACGAGGTGGAGGGAGCCGGATTCAAATCGAGACGAGGAAGATTTAAAGGAATAGGGAGTGGCTCTAGTGTCGATGAGTCAAGGATCTCACCCATATTGGCGAAGCTCGTTGACACGTCTCAAGTATAGACTGAAGGTTTTGTGGAAGGCTCGAGCATCAAGCCGGGCTGCATCTGGTTGCCCCAAGTAGAGATAGGACACAGACCGAGGTGTCCGCGGCGGACTACCTGACCGCAAGACTATTGGTCCGAGGGCCCCACCCTCCTGTTCCTAGAGCAAGAACAGATGACGAGCTAAATCACTCGAGATTGTTTTACCACAAGAGCTTTCAATTGTTAAATCGTCATTTCTTTTACCGAGTAAATAAAATACTCTCCTAGTGGTTTCCCAGTTTTTTGAACTACGCGGGGGCTTCTGCCTGTTGGCTTTCCCTCGCGCGAGATATTTAAAATTGTAACTAGGTGTAGCTAGAGAACTATGCCCGCCATCTTCTCACCTGCCGCCAGAGCAGACGTAGATGAGGAGGTAGACCCACTTGAGATTGTTTTCCCACAGGCGTTCCCCAATGCGTAGTTTCTCCTTCTCTCTTTATACTTTGTAAAGAATATGCCTTTTCTTTCCTTTGAACCACGCGCAGGTTTCTGCCATTAGGCTTTCCCTTGCGCAGGACTTTATAAGTTGTAAATAGCTATAGATAGTATACTATGTCCGCCGGCGTCGTGGGCACGGCCCAGTACCCCAGTAGGGTAGAACGTGACCGAAAAGTAGAATCATTATCATCTATCGATCGTATCATATATGCTTGAATATAGTATGTCCCTTTATGGACATTAGGCCCTATGTTACGGCCTAGTGCGGACCAGTAGTTGCTCCGCAACAGTGGAAGGACCAATAAGGTAGCAATGAGCGGAATCTGGAGACGGACCAATCGCAGGCTGGGTAGGCGACGCCAAGAACCGCCGATAATCGATCTCTGCCCTCGAAGATTATCGTGAATTTGGTTGCCGATGGTCTGAATGGCAGGGCAGGCATGCAACGACTCTCGAATATATAGAATTTTCCATCCCCAGAAACCATAATGAAGACGCAGTCAACAATAGAAAAATTGTCAACCAACAACTGGTGACCGCAGTAAGCCGCATGAAATACTGTGTGAGGATCCAAATTCCCCTGGTTCTACAACCTGGCTACTACCTTCGAACCCCATCTCAGGGGGTTGTAGATCATCACACTCTATTGTTTAGCTACTACATAATTTTAGCTATGCACAACAGTTCTTTATTACAAGTATTCCTTCAACTGGCCTAGAGTCAGACGACCAGCAGGTAGTACCTGGCAAGAAGAGTGGGAACATAAAGAACCTATAAAACCGCAGTGCACGCGAGGTTCAAAACGACCAGTAGGAAACAAGGCGTTTCTGACAACCGGTCGTCTGAGCTAAGAATTACTAGCGAAAGATCGTTGAAACTCAGAATCGCTTATGAAAATAAAATCCTTTGGTAGAAGAGAGAAGGACTCTGAGTATACAAGGTAGATGAATTCCGCGAAACAGGAATTGGACGAAAAAAGCTCCCAGTAAGCAATAGAAGCAGTTACTAAAACTCATTGGTGACCGCAGTGGTTCTGAATTTGTGTGAGAACTCCGCAACCATTCGATATGCAACAATGGTGGGCGGAGAACAGATCATCATCCTGCCTATGGGATGGCTGGTCATCCAAGGCCTTTCTAAAACTCCCCTGAGACGCTCTGCGATATGATGTGATTCTATCTTTCGGCCACGTTCTATCCTAATGACGTACTAGGCCGTGCCCACGACGCCGGCACATAGTTATACTATTTATAGCAATTTACAACTTATAAAGTCCTGAGCAAGGAAAAGCCTAATGGCAAAAACCTGCGTGTGGTTTAGAGGAAATGAAAGCGCATTCTTTGCAAACCGCAGAGAGAAAAGAAGTTACCCGTTGGGAAGAGCCTGTGGGAAAATAATCTCAAGTCTAACTCCTCATCTTCGTCTGCTCTGGCAGCAGGTGAGGAAAACAAAGAGGGGGAGGAGCTGGATGGATGGGAATTGGTTCTAGTGTCAGAGAGTCGAGGATCTCCCCATATTGACGCAACTCGTTGACTCGTCTTAGGTGTAAATTAAAAGTTTTGTAAAAGCGCGCGCACCGGGCCGGGCTGCATCTGGATTGCCCCAGGTAGCAATAGGACACAGACCGAGGTGTACGCGGCGGACTATCTGACCGCACGCACATTTCTTGATGGCCTCCGAGGGGTGGCCAAAACGTTAGTGGTAGTCGACAAAGTCTCCATGGCCAGTAACCCCCTGTATCCAACAGCCCAGGACGTGTCTACCCCGCCTGCGTTGTGGGCACGGCCCAGTACCCCATTAGGGTAGAACGTGGCCGGAAAAAAGAATCATCATCATCATTGTGTGAGAACTCTTGTCTCTCAAATCTCTAGTAAGTCAACCCCGCACCCATCTCAGGAAGTCTAGCTGGATAGTCTGGTCTTTGAATTCTCCATTAAGATAATACTACCCTCGATAATTAGTAATAAATCTTTAAAATCATTCGTCTCTGATCATGGGGGATTCACTGAAGCAATAAAGGTTACATGTTACGGCTAGTCATGGGCTCGGCGGCTGCCCACAGATGGAGTAGCGGGCATCCAATACGAGGATTCCAAGGGGTCAAGAGGCGGATTAATCAGATGGGGAAGAGCAATTATCGTAGTAATCGCACTGCGATGCACTGTGATAACTGTGCAAAACTCCTTGACGATATTAAAGCAGGTAATGGTAGTTGGACAAACAGACTGAGGGCCTCGAATATTATCATGTATATGGAATTACTCATCCCCAAGTCATAACGATGATTTCCAAGTCAACAATAGAAACGGTTTTCAGCCAACCGTTGGTAACCGCAGTGATTCCATGCTCTACTGTATGAGATTCCAGTCCCTCGGGTTCTACAACCTGGCCACTACCTTCGAACCGTCTCAGGACGTTGTGGAATCGTTACATTACCTACGATAGTGGTAGATATATATACTCAAACGTAGCAAAAAATGTGCACAAGCCCTCAAAACCTTATTGAGTGCAAACTAATACATATTTCAACAACGGAGAGGGGGATAAAAGTGATATGGCAGCATAATCCTCTGGATCATTCGAGTATATATATCTTTTGGGAATTTCTTATACGTCCCCCTAGGCATTTAGGACGATGGAGTTCAAGTACTTGTTCTTAGTCATATCAACATGCATGGACTATCTATATAACATCTAGGCTATAGCTGTTAAAGAGAACTACGTAATAGTGGATTTAGTCTAACTAAGAAGAGATAACACGGATATAACAGTTAGCTTGATTAAGTTCTAGTTCTGCATCATATCTGATAAAGTTATATACATTACTTCCAGCGGCATACAGAGAGCTTCAAGGCCATCTTTAGTTAATCCCAGACGCTTTTTCAAACTGTCCCTTCCTACACCAAGTCTCTTCTGGGGGGATGGCGCAGTTGGAGTGCATTGCGCCTGGATAGACCTGCTGTGGCCTGGCAGGTCGTCGGTTCGAATCGGCTCCCTCCACCTCACACTCACCTGGCCTTTGACCACGAACAACCCTAACTTCCCCGCTTGGGCCAGCGGGTAAAAGCTACTCAACCAGGCTCCGACCAGCTCAACCTCCCATCTCCACGCTTGGACCAGCTGGACCAGCGGGCACAAGCTACGCGCGGGTTTTTCCCCCGCGCAATGTATTTAGCAACCTCTTGGCCGCAGTCGCCATGGGCACGACCCGAGTACCTAGATATGGTAGATAGTGGTCGAAAAAATATACATATATACATATACATACTCTCCTCTGTGTCTAATTTGCAAGTTACTAACCATTCATCTCTAATAAAGCAACCGACGATACAGTATCTAAGTAACAGAAACAACACGTTAAGTGGCATTTGATCCAGTAAGGCTTGATATTAGTAGCTTACAATTTTTTTCCTCCAGATATATACCCTTTTATAAAGTATTGTATTGATAGCATGTATATGTATATATCTAGGCGACTACAGGTTGATTATTTTCCATCACCCTAGAACACCTAGATAATATTTATTTTACCGCAAATATTTATGATAAGGCATTCCAATAATTGACTTGCTACGGTGAAAAGTGTACATTAGCAGCTGCGCTGAGACGATCCGACAACCTCCTAGAATGAATTGGAAGGTAGTAGCTAGGTTGTAAAAACTGAGATACTGGGGTCCTTGAACAGCAAAGTACGTGATTTGCTGCGGTCCTCAGTTGTTGGTCTATAACTGTCTAAGGATGATTGAACGAGTCATCATAGCTCTGGGGATGAGCAACTCTATGTACATATCTATACTTGACGACCGTTGACATGCCTGCCTTGCCATTGTCAACCAAATTTACGATTACCGTTGATGTAGAGATCGATTATCGGTGGTTCTTGGCAACGGTAATCTTTCCTTGCCTACGATTGGTCTGTCTTCTGGCCCCACTTGAGCTTCCCTAGTTGTTCCTCCTTCGCTGCCGGGAGGCTGCTGCTGGTCCATATCTGGGCCGGAACATTTCCCGCGGCGCTGCGATAGAAAGTCAATGGAGAGCCCACTGGCATAAGAGATGATGAGAGCCACTCCCTATTCCTCTAAATCTTCTTCCTCGTCTTCCCTCTCCTGCAGTCAGAGCAGACGAAGAGGAGGCGTCAGAACCACTCGGGATTGTTGTTCCACAAGCTCCCCCCAATGGCTGATTCTCCTTTTCTTTTGTTGATTGCAAAGAACGTCTCCCCTCTCTTCTAGTAATCTACGCGCAAACAGATGTCTGCACAGCACGAAGCTTCTCGTTTCGCTGGGCTCGCTCGACCTTCCGCACTGACTCCGGTCTCCCTCAAGGCTCAAAAGTAAAGTAGTGCTGCTATATACTACTCTCAGAATAAACTCCAATGCTGCTTGCGCGCCGCCTGCTATCACTCATCATCATCACCATAATCCTCCTGCCAATTCACACCACAAATGCCGCAAGCGCCTGTGTCCTGGCTGCTTTAAAGAGAGCCAGGGACGATCAGGTCAAGGAGCTGAACGCCACCATTTCGATTGTCGGAGAGCTCGTCGATGCTATTGCTATGGTGGAGAGCCAGCGCAAAAGCCCGCTGGAGAAGCAAGTCGGCAAGCCGTTTATCGACAAACTTCATTCCTTCCTGATCCAAGAATCCATGAAAACGACAAGAGTCCTCACCTCTTCCCCCACCGCTATTCCGGTTCCCTCTAAATCCACGATACCCGCAGCTACGAATGTCTCTGACATTCCCACAACCGGGCTCAGGATGATGTTTCTCCTACTCCGGCCCCTCCAAAACAACCCCGTTGGGCTGATGTGGCCGCGACTCCTTTGTAATCCCCTCAACGAAAGAAACAAACCACACTCAGCCACCCTTCCCCGAGCGGCTCTCTCGCTCGTCCGATGGATCGCACCGCGAGTAAGCGTGTCTTCCTTCGGATGAACAAAGCCGAGCCTGCGAACGCGTTCTGGAGTCAAGCCTCGCCCGCAAAAGTTGTCACTCTATTAGTGAATTACATGGGCTTCCCGCGCGATCTCATCAATCGCGCGTATCCGATTAAATCCGGCTGGTGCGTCGAAGTGAGGGAGCAGCAACATCGCTCTTTGCTAGTCGAGAAGGCAAAGGAGAAAGGCCTTGTCGCAGAGCCGGAGAAAACCACTTTTGCTTACATTGCGAGGAATGTACCTCAAACGATCCGCGACTTCACGGGCCAACCCATCGATACCGAACCGCTCATTCAGCAAGAAGCAATCGTTGTCACACACCAGAAGGACGCAAAGGTCATCAAGAGCAGATCGGGTGCCTGGATTGTGGTTCTCCGCCGGCAATACCCCAGCTTCCGACTGTTCGACTCGGACCCTGCTATCCCATTGTCCCACAACCCCCGAATCTACTCTTGCGAGCACTGTTTCGGCTTCCACCATCGGGACAAGTGCCGCTATGCTGCCGTCTGCAGCAAGTGTGGCGGCCCAGCTCACAACCATACAGGGTGCCGGCCAATCCCTCAGTACCCCAACTGCCTTTCTCCAGCTACCCCCGGACACCGCGACTGCCCAGCCCTCCCAAAATAAAATCTCCCAAGGCCGAGTCCTGAAGCCTACGCGCGAGCAGAGAGCCGCCTTCCGCAAGGCTGGCCGTGCAGCGTACAAGGCTAAGGTAGCCGAGCTTAAGAACACATCGACCCCTCCCTCGGCCCTCCCCTTCCTCCTCGAACCCAACTTCGAGTGACAACAATAGCTCAAGGCAAAACTCTCTAGACACGATCGCTGAGTCCACACCTAGCGAGGCGCACACCGTTGGCCTTGGTGCGTCGCCGTCATCCGACTGGGTGATGGTCAGCCGCTCTGCCGCTGCGATGTTCCCTGGTGGCAGACTCTCAAAAATGAGAGCGCTCGCCCGGTACAGCTCGCTACGTAGCGACTCCCGACAGCGCGTTTTGGGGAAGGTAGCAGCTAGTTTGGAGTCGCTCCCAACCATTCAGCAACTGTTCCCGCCACAGGATCGGCCCGAATCACCCGACCCAATTAACACTATCTGATGCCCAAGAAGTATAGCAGACATCTTCAAATCTTATCTGCAAACGCGCAAAAATCCATCGCCTACACAGACAGCCTCTTCGAGCTGGCAGCTAGACGGAGAATATCCCTTGTCTGTGTCCAAGAACCCGCGGTCATCAGAAGCAAGGTTTGGAGACACCCTGGTTTCACCGTGATCTCTTCGGGCGACCCTGAATGCCGAACGGCTATTTACATTGACAAAAGATTCCCCTTCTCTGCTCTGCACGACCCTCTCCATTTTGCAGTCTCGGTTTCTTTCTCCGGGTTCCAGATTGTCTGCCTCTACATCCACCCGAGAGACGAGCTCGCTTTCCCAGCCTGGCGCTTTCTCCGGTCAATTCGAGCCTCCCAATCACATATTATTGTCGGTGACTGTAACACCAAACACCCTCTCTGGGACCCTGGAGCAAATACAAACCCTCGAGGGGAACCCCTCGCAACGTGGATTGCTGCTTCCGGCCTCGTGATTCTCAACCCCCCAGGCGAGACTCACAATAGAGGCGGCGTCCTCAACCTAGCTCTTGGGCCACCTATTGGGTTTCAGATCATAGGGCTTTGGTGGTCTCAGTCCCTACGGCACCGCCGCAAT